CTCGCCCCGGTGGGAACACAAAACGGTGCAGACGGTCAGGAAGACAGTTTGGTGGTTTCTCGCAGAACTAAACACACTCCTGCCACGTGATCCAGCAATCACACTCCTTGGTATTTACCCAAAGGGGCTGAAACCTGATGTCCACACAAAAACCTGCACGTCAATGTTCACAGCAGCTCTCACCAGAAATGCCAAATCCAGAATCAACCAGGAGGTCCTTCAGCAGGTGACAGATAAACTGTGGTCTATCCAGACACTGGAACGTTATTCAGTGATAAAGAGAAATAAGCTATCAAGCTGTGAAAAGCCATGGAAGAAACTAAATGTGTGTTAAGTGAAAAAGCTGATCTGAGAAGGCTACAGACTGTATGATTCCAACGGTGCGACATCCGGGAGAGGGAAAACGGCCACAGCGAGAAGGCCAGGGGCTGCCAGGGGCTGCCAGGGACTGGGGGCGGGAGGGAGCACGCAGGACCGCGAGGCCAGGGCAAGCACTCGGTGCGACGCTGCGGGGACACCGCACGTTTGTCCAAACCCGCGGACGGCGCGACACCAGGAGGGAGCCCTCACGTGGACTGCGGGCTCCAGGTGGCGACACACGTCGGTGACGACACACAGCACTCTGGCGGGCGGCGTGCGCAGGGAGGGGCCTGGGAGTCCTCCGCCCCATCCTCTCAGTTGACAGTGAACCTGCTCTAAACACAGGCTCTGAAAAACAACCGATCAAACCCAAGTCAGAGAGACTCAACACAGCCAGAGGCGGAGCCAAGACGAGTCTCAGACGTGACATCTAAAACCCCCACGGTGCCTTGCCCGGGCGCGACAGCTGCAAAATCAAAACACACCCGGTGGACAAAAACCAGACGAGGCCTCTTACCTCGCGGACCCCAGTGACAGACGTCAGAGACCCCACGCAGACCCGACTCGAGGGGGCACGGCAGACCTGAGGGATGGAGGGCTTCCCGTATTTGGGGGTGGGGGGCCTGGATCCCCACTCACACTCCTTACCAAAACCAGTTCTACGAGGATGAAGACTTAAATGTGAACTGTACAACTATTAAAGTCTTTAAAAGAAAACGTTGGAGAATATCTATGTTTTAGGGAAGATTTCTTGAGACCCCCAAAATACTAAGTATGATAGGAAGATAAATTTGCATTAAAATTAAGGCCTTCTATCATTAAAAGGGAGTGAACTGAAAAGCCGCCAGGTGGAAGAAAGCGGTTGCAACACATTTAAATGACAAAAGATTAGTGACCATGACACAGAGGACAGTTAGGAACCAGTCAGAAGACAAACGGCCGGCCGGCCGTGGAAACGGCAGAAGGCGGGCAGACGGAAAGGCAGTCAGCCCCTGAGCGGCAGGAGAGATGCAAACTCTCTCAGTTCGGCCACCTCACAGTTCACGTCCCACGGGCGGGGAGGAAAGACAGTGACAATGGGAAGCGCTGGTGTGCGTGCCACCGACGGGACCGGGAAACATGTCGGCAGCGGAGTGAGCCGCACCGACCTCAGGGAACCGACCTCACGGAACTGACCGTGCAGCTGCCGGCCCCAGGGCTGGGAAGCTGGGACTCCTGCCTGGCGGCCGCGTGGCCCATGCAGAATGTTAACTGTCGCCTGCCGGGACCCGGGAGCTGCGGTCCGTGCCAGGCACAGGCGCCCACATGACAGCACCCACTGAAACCTGGGCGCCAGGCTCCGATGGGCTCCCCGGGTAGAAGCACTCCCCACCCGCGGCTGCGTTCTCCCTGTGTCCCCTCGTGGGCGGGAGGGAGCTGCAGATGCGGCCCGAGCCCGAACGTCTGGGTGGTGACGGGGCCTCCGCGGCTACCCAGACACACGCCCCGCAGCCCCGCAGCCCTGCAGCTCCCCCCGGCGTGCGGCACCCCTGACCCAGAGACGACGCAGAAACGACCCTCCTGGTCGGGGCAAATGCAAACCGGAAGCATGGCGGCGGGACCCCAGCCCGCGCCCAGCAGGAGGGCGCTGGCAGGAAGCTGGGAAATGGCACGTGCTGGCCGGGACGAGGACGCGTGGCACAGGGAGCCCTGGGCCGCTGCGGAGACGGCGCTGCGGCCGGGGTTACAGTCGGGCTGCCGGGGGGTCTCAGCCTTTACGCCAGGGGTTAACAGGAGATGAAGCAGACGGACAGGTGCGCCCACGTTCACGGCAGCCGCGTGCACAACGGCCCAGCGACAGACGACGGACGCACACGACATGGTCCAGCCACACGACGAGACGTCAAGCAGCCAGAGGAGGGACATTCCTGAACGTGCCGCAGCCTGAGGGCACTGTGCTGAAGTAACCCGGACGCGGGATGTGGGACAACTACCGTGTGACCCCACTCACGTGCCAGACCGGGGCTGGGGGCGGGTGCGGTGAGTGTTTGATGGGGACGGGTTCAGTTTGGGAAGATGAGCTCCTGGAGGTGGACGGTGGCGATGGCCCTGACGTTGTTAAAATGGACACGCGTATCGCGGGAACGGGAAGGGAGCGAGAGCCGGAGCGAGGGCAGCTACCTCGTGGCCCCGTCTCAGAAACACAGCTGAGAGGAAGTGCTCGCCCTGACTGGCGCCTGACGCTCTTTCACAAAGCTCAGAACGAGCACCCCAGCCACCTGCCAGGGGAGGACACGGCGGAGTAAAAGGCAGAGTAAAACCGTGGGGAAACGGGTGTGCCCTCTCCCCACACCCCGACTTCCAGCCCCCGCCACTTTCTGCGAACCACGCATTCCCGGGACCTGAGCGGGCGACCAGCAGGGGGCGCTGGCATAAAGGCTAAGGGCCATCCTGAGCGGCGGCCAGTCTGTGGGAATCGGGAGAGGCCCAGGGCTGGCCTTATGGCCAGTGCCCACTGTGGTCACCCCTGCCTGAGGACGGCCTTTCCACAGTCACAGAGGCGGGGGCAGCGGAGGCCCAAGTTCACGGGGCCCCGGGCCCCACCGCTCACCTCAGCTTTACCCTCGCCCTTCTTCCCCCAGGTTCTGACGCTGAGAAACGCCGAGAGTCCCCTGGGTGACCATGGAGACTGCCCCCACCGTCCAAGCGCGCCTCCTGCTTATCTGAGGGAGGTGGCGGGGCTCCCCAGGTCTCACTGGAGGAAGTGGGGCGGGAAGACGCGGACGGAGGGTGCACTGACCCTGCCACCGTCACGCCGCAGCTGCCAGAGCGGCCGGCCAGGGCGCTGTGTGCCAAGACGCAGGTGGGCCCTGGGTGGCGGGCCCCGCGGGCGCAGGGCTGGCGGGACACGGGCACGACTCGGCCTCACCTGCGCACGGCTGTCGACGTCCTCTGCGGGGAGGTCCGACCGCACAGCCTCCTCCAGCAGCCCCGCGGCGAGCTGCACCGCCTGCTGAATTCGTTCCCGCATCTGCCTCTTGTCGGGATCCGCGGTCTCGGTCAGCTTCACGGACAGCAGCTGCAACCAGGGCAGAGGGCAGCTCTATGACACGCTGAGCACGAGTCCCTGGGCCACGGAGGCGACCTGGAAGAGACCAGCTCTCCCCGCTGCCCAGGGCTAGGAAGAAGCCTGTGTCCTTGAGAGTGTCACCCTAACGTCTTCCCAAATGGCCGGGTGGCCGCTCGGAGACTGACGCCCCAGCCAGCCAGTCCTGGCTGCCCGACCGTGGCCGGGCGCCCACCCCACTCCACCTCACGCCTCCCATTCCCTGACGTTAATGAGTGAGAGCAGTTCTCCCGAGGCTGTGCCAGGGACTGCACGGGTGCCATGCAGGGACTTCGGGAGGTGCCACCAGCCCCCTCTACCACGAAGGTGCCCGCGGCCGAGTGGGCCTCCCCTGGCTGGCCTAAAAGATTGGTGAGCTCTAACCTTATTCCTTATTTCCAGAGATAAAATGCTAGAAGCACACCAGTAACTATTACTGTAATTGCTAAACACAGCAATTACCAAGTAAAACAATTTATTCCAACCTTACTGTATAATACGATAACTTATAACACTGATTATTCAAAATGAAAATATTAAATTAGAATCAATTTCTTCAAATAATTCTGAAAATTCTCAGCATTACCAATTTAAGCAGTGTGGTACGGCTTCTGCATCTCGGTCAAAAGTACTTGATCTGTCTGCGACCTCAACGTGGAAGATTCAACAGTAACTTTAGAAGCCTTTTACGTGTAGGTTAGCGGCACGGTGACACATGCTGCCATTTTCCTGTAAGCGGCAGGAACAGTCACCTACTCCACACCCCTGTCCAAGTGAGTCTGTCCTGGCGACTGTCCCACTGGCGAGCACCCCACGCCGATCAAGTTTGGTGACCTGACGGAACTGGCTTTGGTACTGTGCACGAGGACAGCCACTACTCTAGGGCCAGTGACACGCGAACGGCTGAGGGCCAAGGCCGGGAATCGGGGGGCAGACAGCCAGGGCCCACCTGCAGGGCGGCGTGAACATCGTCCAGGAGCTGCGCCGCGGGGGGCTGCTTCTCCCGGTACCGCTCAAACAAGCAGTTCTGCCGGGCCCTCGTGATGATCTGGGGAGAGACAGGGAAGGTGGGGGGCACGCTCACAGTCTGCGTCCAACCCTGTGCGGCTGCGGGCCCCTGCCATGCGCCCCCACACGAGACTGCCAGAACGCGGCCTGTCTGATGCCGAGGAAAGAGGCCGGCCCCCCGCTTCCCACACGGTGCATGCGCCTGCGGGCCCCTCCGTGACGCACCGTGGGGGACGTGTCATCAGCTGAGTCCCCGAACTCATGGCTTTCGAACAGCAGCTAAACACGTGACACTCATTTGCATGACGTGTGATGCTGCTTCAGCGAGGGCATTCGGGTCACGTTCACTAGGTCGAGACCCGCGCCACCTCAGGCCGACCTCACGTTAAGTACTTATCCCGAAGTCGCTTCCCGCACGGCACGCGCTGTGCTTCAAGTTCAATCTCGACCCTTTACCTTGTCGTCGATGTCCGTGATGTTCATGCAATAAAAGACGTCGAATTTGAAGTAGTCCCTCAGCACTCTCCTCAAGATGTCAAAGGAGATGTAGGACCTAAAGCGACGAGAAGACAGGCCGCTGCGGCACGCCGTCTCGCACTGCCACGAAGGCACACGCGGGGGAGGGTGGCGTGGCGCTCCCCCAAAGCCAGCGGCTCACACACGCCACAGCCCAGGAGGGCCCGGGCCTCAGGCCTGAGTGTCAGGGACGCTCAGCACCCGGGGCCTCCCCCTGGAGCTGCAGCTGAGGAAAAAACGTTAGGTGCACAGAGAAGGTGTCCGGGCGTGGATGGGACACTAACCGTGGCCGGGACACTAACCGTGGCCACGGGGCACCTCTCCTGTGGCTGTCAGCTTCCTCTGGCTTTTCTACAGGAAGTGAAAGCACCGCTTCAGAAAGAAAGGTCCTGTCTTAAAGTAGGACGGGGCAAGCTCAGGGTGGATCCTCCTCGTGCAGCCCAGGTCCCTGGTGGCACGTCAGAGACCTCTGCGGAGCTGAGAGGCTCCCCGTGGGCCCCACTCGCCCGGTGGCGGGCCCTACCTGGCGTGGCCCATGTGAGATGCGTCGTAGACGGTCGGCCCGCAGCAGTACCACGTGACTCTTCTCCCGTTTTGAGGGATAAACACGTCCTTTGTTAGAAGTGAAGGAAGGATGGTCACAGAAACGCAATGGCACGACGCAGGGTCACCACACCAGCAACGACCAGCTCACTGCCACCGGCCTGCTTCACCAAAATTCAGCAAGGCGCTTTTTGTTTGAAAAAAGTCACAAAGTCTGGTGGGGTGAGGGGTGGGGAGCCCAGACTGTCCACGGCGACCTTCCCTGGACAAGGGCGTGGCTGGCCGGGCCTCTCCCTGCCTGGGTCCTGCTCGTCCCCGGGGCAGATGGCAGATGAAACCAGCGCTTTGACAGCAGCGGCTCACCTACACCGTGCACCTACTACGTGCCAGGCCTGTGCCTTGTACTCAGAGGACGACAGCTGCTCCGGGAAGCCCCCTGGGAGGCAGGCGGTGCCATTTCCCGTTCACAAATAAGGACAATGGCTCTGAGCCGTCGTCCAGGATCTGCCTGGCCCTGGCCGGAGGAGCCAGCCTAGCTTAGAGACCAGGAGGCCCAATCGACAGCCTCGGGCCAATTCAGGGCCACTGTTGCCAACTAGGTCCTCAAGGTGTGCTAAGTGTGCTCGCTGACGGAAACGCCATCAACCCACGGCCACAGCCCTTTCCCGAGTCCCGGGGCCACCGGCCAGGCCAAGCAGCACGAGCCCAGCAAACCCTGTTCGATTAGGGGCCAGCCCCGGCTTCTCGGCACCTCGCACGTCCTCGCTTGGCCTGGTGCTTGTCGTGACGTCCACTGTCACCCCATGTGCTCTCTGAAAGCACGCCGCCCGGCTCCGCATGACCACCAGCACCCTGTCCATGCGGGTGAGGGTTCGGACGGCAGCCCTGCCCGGGCCACGCAGAACACGGGGTCGGGAGCTGAGGGGTCTCGAACCTGGACGCGTGGACTGCCAGGGCCGACGTGAGGCAGGCGACAGTCTGTGTCTCAGCAGGGCCCCACCCCCCACCCCGCCGCGTGAGCCCTCCTTACCTTGTTCCGGGTGAGGCTGTTGTACAGGCGCAGCTGGCTGGGCTCGGACCCGGCTGGGGGACACCACTGGGGCTGTGCCCGCCGGCCCCGACCTGCAGGCGGGAATGCAGCTGGGTCACGGCCAGAAGGACCTGAGTCTCCCGACGGACATGCTGTTGTCAGGGAATGTGACGGTGTGGCCGACGAGGCTGCTGGCACCGCCCACGCCATCGCCACCGCTCTGCTCTGAGCCACGGTGGACCCCACGACCCCCCTAGATCCCCAGGGCGGGGCCACCCGGCCACTCAGCCACCCCGCCCCTCCCTGCCCTTCGCACGTGCGCCTCCCGCTCACAGCCTGCAGTGCCGCGCACGGCTCGGGGTCAGGAGGAGGCACGGGCCCTGCACACAGGCGGTCGCACTGCCGGACAGTGACTCAGGATATAACTTGGGTGCCCTGCCCTCCCCCACGACGACAGCCCTCGGTGGACGCTTATGAGGCCAGGGCCAGTGGAAGCCTGGCCAAAAGCAGCTGCTGGCTCACGGCCACAGTCGGTGGGGACGGCTACCAGCCCTCAGCACGCACGTGGCTCCCTGGCATGAGGCTGGTGCGGACACCGGTGGCTCCGGGCTTCTGGCGGTTCCGACCGCCCAGGAGACGGCCCGGCCTCCTGCGCTGGGGACTGCACCTCATCCGGGCATCCCTGCTCTCGGCTCTGCTCCTGCCCCGACCCATCCCCTCCTTAGTGGAGTCCGGCGCCAGGCTGTCCAGCCTCTCCGCCCCTCGAGTCTGCTGCTCTGCGGGCCCCAGGCCCACGCTTCCAGCCCGACGAAGGGCGGGCCATGCGCAGTCTGCGCTCGGGGCCAGGAGTGACCGCCAGGTGCTTACTCACAGCCCACGGGCACCTGGTGACATCCAACCACCTCCAGTGTCCCCCTCAGGCCGTGTCCGCAGTCCGGCTCCGTGCCGTGCTCCACCCTGCACAGCGACCACCCCAGGACGGGCCCACGGGGCCGTCTCAGCACTCGTCACCCCTCTTCCCAGCCAGGCCATCTGCGGCGCACCGAGCTGCCCTCTTCCCGTCCCCTCCCCCTGCCTCTGTGTTTGCGAAGGGCTCTCCCTCCCGCTGATGGCCTGCCGGTGGGGACACCCTGCTGGTGGGGACACCCTGCCCAGGCCTCCCTCAGATCTACGCTGCAGATGGCGGCTTCCATGGGAGTCACGGAGCAGTCAGTCCTGGGCTCAGCCATTTGCTCGAGGTCACACCAGCCACACAGAGGATGCACGTAAGTGACAGGCGGAGAGGAGAGGAGAAAGGCAGCTGTGTGTGTGCGTGCGCGTGTGCGTGCGTGCACGTGCGTGTGTGTGCGTGTGCACGCGTGCAGCAGGGAGGAAGACAGACGGCGGGAGCTTCTGCTCTAGTGGGTGCCAGCGCGCTCACAAGCGGGCACGGAGCCAGCGCAGGGAAAAGCCCAGATCCCTGCGAAGTCACGTGCTCCCTGCCGCCAGGTACGAGTCTCGCGGGTTCGTTTACAGGCAGCAGACGCCCTTGGAGGGGCCCGTCCGTGAACCGACGCAGCTCGGTCAGCTGCTCCGTGGCTCCGACGCGCTCCTCCAACCCCGAGACCCGAGAGCTCCCGAGACGCAGGCAGCGCTGCCATCTGGGGTGACTGGGGACCGGCCAGAGCTGCCCACACACTGATGCGAGCCAGATGACCACCGATAAGCAGGAGGGCTCAGGGTTCACGGGACGGAAGGCTCGTCTGAGAAGACCCAACTGGCTGGTAAGGGGACACGGCCGAGGGCGTGGCCAGCAGGACACTGAGCCACACTTGGCTCTCTAGCTCCCCGAAGGGCTGCTACTGCCACACCACTGGTGACAGGTCCAAGGAAACTTGGCACGTGCCAAGGGGAAACTGGGAGATGGGACACAGGAGCCTCGACGTAACAGGAACACGCTGCCGTCAGCGTGCCCTCAGGCCAGGGACTGCCCCGATGTCCCCGTGCATCAAGGCCTCACTCCCCAGCAGGTCTCCCGCTGGTACTCGAACCCGTGTCCCCACCGCACTTTCCCCAGGCCCCCAGGAGGCTGCCCGGCCCAGCGGGGACTCCCGGAGGCAGCAGGCGGCCGCCCCTCCCATGCAGGGCGTGAGTGCCCAAAGCCACAGGGACAGCCGAGCTGCTCAAGGGCGTCGGGAGATTAGGGGACAAAGGAGAGAGGAACCACACAGAGAGGAACAGAGCCCCCGAGACGCTCCAGAAGCACCCCCGGAACAAGCGGGGCCACGCTGCGGCTACAGCTCCGCGACTGACTTCCTCTCAAAGCCCACAAGCGACATTTCTGATTCTCGGCAAGTCCGCTGGTTATGGCTGCATTCGGGTTCAACCGCCAAACCTGGGGCACAGAGTCCGCAAGCTCACGGAAAGAACAAGGAGAAAGAACCACGGCAAAGCCGAGCCAGGCAGGGAGACGCTGACAGCGTCAGGCCCGGACCCCGGCGGCACGCGCTCACGGCAGCTCTGCGCCAGCCGGGCAGCAGGCGAGGACCCGCGGGGTACGGCCCGCCAGAGCCCATTGCTGGGCATGCTCTGCCCTAACCTCCACTCAGGGAGCGCTGGTCGGCCGCCAGGCCACCCGCTCGCGCGTGGGGACGGGAGCCAACGCCGTGGGCTCCTCCGGGGCACCACAGCCAACTGGCGCCACGCGCCCAAGGGGCCCTGACCTTGGAGGTGGCCGCCGCTGGGAGAGGTTCTAACGCTGGGAGCCCGCTCTGCTACTCACTTGCTTGGAGCCCAGTGGGCTCGCCTCTGCCGCGGGGGCCGCCCAGGACGGCTTCTACGTGCCGGAACCACCGAGCCACGTGGAAGAGCCGCGCGTCCGTGGGAGGGGCCGAGAGCTGCCTGAACACGTCCACGTCCGCCTGGGACAGGGAGTACCCCTGGACGTAGCTACGTGTGCTCAGGTGCTCGTTCAGGGCCTGCGCCCTGGCGGCCTCGTCACTAATGCTCAGGATGGACCTGTAGTCGGGAGCTGCAAAGACAGAGGCACACGGCGTCAGTCGGGGGCAGGAAGACGCGGGGTCCGGGTGTCAAGCCCTTCCCGGGGACGAAAGGTCCAGACGGCAGCTCCGCAGACCAGGGCGGGGCGGGGGGCGGAGTGGCCAATGCGGTTTCAGTCGGGGCGATGAAATCCAGACGCAGGTGACACAACGCTGTGAACGCACTAAGTGCCACCGAACTGTTCCTCTTACGAGGTTACTTTGTACCACGCGAGGCTCAGCTCAGTTCCAAGAGACTCCACTGCACCCGACCCTCGCCGCAGCCAGGGGCCGGCGGCTCCGGTGGGTGAGAGCTGCACGGCTGCCAGGCCCGCAGACGCGGTGCAGACCCCGCTGAGAGGCGGCCGGGCGCTGGCGTGGCTGCTGGGGTGACGCAGCCCCCTGCAGCGCCTGCTTGGCCAAGCGCAGCCGGCCGGGCCGACTGTCCCAGCTGCACCTGACGGGCCCTGCCCCTTCCTCACATGGTTACTGCAGAGCTGACAACTGTGCACGTGTCCCCTGCACCCAGGAGTCAGGCCACTGGTCTGAGACTGTCAGGAAGGGCGGAGGGCAGGACCCAACCCCGTAACTCCCGGCGAGGAGACGGCCGGCGGCGTGGCCGGACACGCCGCACCCTGGGCACAAACCCCCCGGGGCCCACTCTTCCTCGCCAGCAGACTCCATGCTCACCAAGGTCCAGTGGTGCTTGTCTCTGGTGTGGAGGGCGTGGGGCCGGGCGCTGCCCCTGGGCCCAGTGGGAGGAGCACAGACTCCGTGCCCCCAGCAGGGTGCTGGGGCGAGCCGGTGGCACTAGGCCCCCCGGTGCAGGGAAGAGAGGGCCCCAAGCCCACGGGCCTGAGCCACATCTAGGCCGTGATCACTCCGCTGCTTTATGCCGATGGAACCGTGGACGAAGGACCACCGCCAGGTGCCCCACGCCGAGCCCTCGCAGCCTGCGAGTCAGCTGTGAGCGGGGAGACCCGGGCCTAGGCCCTCGCTCCCCCAGGCGCAGCACCTCTTGCTAGGCCCTGGACACGCCTGACACCTGAGCCCTCTGGAGCGAGCTGCCTGACCAGGAGGTCACTGGGTCACTGTGCTGGACCCACAGCCGGACAGCTCCAACAGGGAGGAGACACGGATCCACATGGCCATGCTCCCACCCCTGACCCTCCTCCCCCGCACTGTCGACCTGCCTGGCACGGGAACAGGAAAATCGCCAGCCAAGCCTGCTCCACTCCTGAAAACGGACAGCAAAGCCCCCGCGGGGCAACCGCGGCACAAGCACCCTCCTGTGCCGTGTCTGCGTTCCGGCCCTGCCAACCACCGGCTTCCTGGCCCAGCGGCACCAGCAAGGCTGAGCTGGGACCAGCCAACAGGATGAAAGTCTGCGGCATTTCCCAAGCTGTGCAACACGAACCATCCCAGTGCTGAGGCCCTCAGGCCGCCGGTGGTGGGACAGTGACTTCCCAGGGCCTGGGGAGGCCGCTTTCGGAGGTGGTCCTGAACCCCGACCTCTCCACCCACAGGAAGGCGTGGGCGCCACAGGGAAGTCGTCCTTGAGCTCTCGATAGGACAAAAGGACACTGTGCTTACAACGCAGGCGCTCCACAAAGGCCCGCTGCTGCCCGGCCCAGAGAAGCCCGCCTCCCTCCGAGACAGCGGGGGAAGGCCAGGGGGGCTGCACCCCCCGCTCGCCAGTGGGGAGGCCCCCCTCGCGAGCCCTGCCTCCCAGCCACCAGTGTGGAGACTGCCGGGATGAGCTCTCCTCCTGCCGCAGGTGTGATCCAGGGAGGCGGCACCTGCCGGGGGCCTGGGCACCGGGAGGGCCCGGCTCTAAGTGCGCGCTTCCTCCCGGGGCCCTGCTTCGCCTGGCCACGGCCCTCCGCCAGCTCGGCGGCCCGCCTGCCGGCCACGCTCCTTTTCATGGGAAAGAAAACGCAGGTCACTAAGGATAGGAGAGAGGCCGTGCCAGAGGCGGACAGAGCTGGAGGTGGCCCGATGGGTCGGGACCCCTTTCCGCAGCTGTTCTCCCAACACCGACCTCCATGAGCCCTCTCCGCTGGCTCTTGGTGTCCCCCCTGTGCAACTGCCTGGGCCAGGACCCCAGGACCAGAGAGGAGCGGAAAGGCTGGGGGAGGGGCAGCTCCATTCTGAAACAGCAGCGGGACGTCACTTCCCAGACCCCCCGCCCCCGGCGCTGACTGGCAGCGAACGGAGGCACTCTGGTGGGAGGCACTCTCTGGTGGGCAGGGAGGACCCCCGGCCTCGCCCAAGGGCATGGGCGCGGCCTTCCGGGGACAGTGCTCTGCGGGGGAGTTTACTCCCCTCTCTGTCCTGCACCTCTCACGTTTTCCACGATAAGCACGTTATTTTTATAACGAGTAAAACATGCCAAACGTTCTAAGCAACACGGCTTCAAAGCGCTAACGAGGCACCTGGGGAGAGGGAAGGGGGCGGCTCCTCACCACACACGCCCCGCGCCCGGCAGTGCCCCCTGGGCCTGCTGTTGGCGGCGTTGCTGACCTCACTCCTGAGCTTGTTGTTATCACATTTACCCCGAGGGCTTCACGCGGGGATCACACACATGCTCAGCACCGCCTGGCAGTCACAACCACCCACAGCTGGGAGGGTGCCCGAGAGCCTGGGTGACAGGCTTCCAGGCCGTGGCATCAGACACTGGGGTAATTGCTGCCGCTGCCCTTAGCGTCTCATGACAAAACAAAAATAGGTCAGCTTTCAAGTGGCCGTGGGTTTGGGCCAAACTGTGGTCTGGCTGCCGGCCTGCGATGCCAAGGTCAGGGAGGCTGGCGAGCGGGGACGCATCTGCAGTGGTCCCACAGCGCCAGCACAGAGCAAGCTCCTGCCCGTGTCCACCCGCGGAAACGTCCACACAGCCAGCCAATCCGCAGTCCTGTCCCGAAACGTGGCACTGGAGAGACCCCTTCTGATGGCCGGGATGTCCCAGACATGGACCGTGACCCCCCGTGCAGCAAGCAGGAGAGCTGACGAGACGTTTACTGCAGTCACAGACACAGGAGCCAGGGAACCAGTCCGCACGGCGTCCGCAGGTGGCCCTCTCCCTCGCTGGCTCCGCCTTCAACCACCCGCGTCTGCCTCCTTGCCGCCTTCCTGCTCCCCGCCCTAGGGACCCCCCTTTCTGCGAACGCTCCTCTGGCTCCCTGGCCCCGTCTCCTGGGTCCCCTGCTTGCGCATTTCCGTGGGGATGCCCAGCCTGCCCAGGTGGCTCTCTGAAAGGAGACTAGAAAAGGCTCTGGGGTGCATCCCCTCCCGCGGGAATCTCGACGGGGGGACAGGTGTGTGCACCCCTGCTCACCCCACCTGGGGCTGTGCCGCCCCTCGGGGAACCCAGGGCCTCCTCCCAACACCCTCTCTAGCCCCCGCCTCTCTCCTGAGCACCAGACCCTGAAGTCCAGCTGTCTGTCACCTGTCCACAAGGTGTCCCCAGGCATCGTGTCTCACCCCCAAACCTGGGTACAAGTCCCAGGGAATGGACCGCCCCTTTCCCATACTGGGGCTGAAGCTGGGCACCTCCATGTCTCACTCCCCCATGGAACTCGGTGTCAACCCCAGTCCTCCCAAGCCTGCCTGCTTCTCTCGTGCCGGCCACTGCCAGCAGCCCAGGCCACCAGCATCTTGGGTCCTCCTACCCATCCCGCCTGGGAGACGCTGGCCGGCGAGGACCAAGCTGAGGTTCTGGCGGACTGGAGAGCAAAAGAGAGACCGAGCCTGGGCTCTGACCCGCCTGGCGGGACCCAGCCCACGCCCTGGGGAGTGAGCGAGCAAGAGAGGAACCGCCTGTGTAACCCCCGAGGCTTTGGGGTTCTCCGTTCCAGCGGTCAGCCCACCCTGACGTGAACACGTCGCCCTTCCCTGCCATTGCCTGCTTCCCCACTCCAGACAGCTGGACCTTTATCGCGGGTGTAGGCCCGGGGCCTGGCAGCATTTGGCAAAGCGGGTGCTCAACGCACATCTACTGACTAGATGAATAAATGCGAACGGCAGACGTGTTTAAGTGAACCATTCTGAAGCGCTCAGTGACAACCTCCCACTGAAAGAGCAGGGGTGACGCTTTCCCACGGGATGTTTGTTCTCCGGCATCTCTCGGAGACTCTGCTTATTGGGGGTGTCCGGTTACTTTCGCAACAACCACAAGTGGGCGATCGAGTGGCACCACCCACTGCCATGGGGAGGTGCGGCACAGACCCTGGAGACGGCTTAATCTCCAAGGGCACCATCTCGTATGACTCTTAAAAAAGTCAGTCCCGGGAAACATGGAAGCATGAGATCATAGATGAACGAATGTTTGTAGTCTATAAATATACACGTTTCGTTTTCCTTTGAGAAACGCGGCAAAGCCTAGGAGCATTATCGTCTCATCTGCCCTGGGCTTGGGGCCCCCGTCATCACTCTGAACAGAACCGTCAAAGGCGGCACAGTATAAAACTGAGACCCCTGCCACGATCCAGCTGCCCAGGTTGGAAGCCTGGCTCCACCTCCGGCTGGCTGTGTGACCTCGGGCGAATCATCGGTTTCTCTGAACCTCGGAAGTCGCGCCTGTGCAGGACGATAAGGCAGCACTAAACACAAAGGGATGCTCCGAGGAGCACAGGCCCTAACATACAGACCGGGCCTGGCCAGATGCTGAGCAAAGCGCCAGCTGCATTATCATGGGGAAGACCCTCTGAGTGAAACTGCATTAAAAATTAGACCGTAAGTCTGCCCTAACGGGTGGCCGCCCCAGCATCTGGGGTCCTGCCTGGTCCCCCAGTCTGCAGGACAAGGCCTTGGACGTGAGACCGTGTCCCAGGACGGGCTGCGCATGCCTCCCAGTGGCAAAGGAGAAGCTGTAGACCCAGCGTCATCACAACGGCTGAACAGATGTTCTGAGTCACCTTCGGGAAAATGACCCAAACCGCGACGGCTATTCTAAATGACGGCCTCCCTGAGAAGTCTGCGAAGACGCTCACTTTTGATGAGCCCAAGCCTGGGAATAAAGGGCATTCAGAAACTTGAAAACGAGACTGTCTAGAACCTGGTAGTTGGTTCCATGATGCCTTTTGCCACTTAATTTCCCATTGTTCGAGGGGAAGCCTAGGGACGGGACAAGGTATGTGAGCGTGGTGGGGGGGGGGGTGGTGGCCGCAGTAGCAGAAGAGCACGTGGGCACTGGCTGGCAAATGGGACCCTAAGGTCTAGGACCAGGAAAACCTGTCAGCTGTCCTGACATCCTGGGGCTTAACCTCGACCCAGGCATCGATCTCCAAACAGGCCTATCCTTACCAAGGCTCCGAAAAACTCAAGTTCTGAAGTAATTAAAAGAAATAAAAAACGAAAACATGTTATCCTGTGCCAGGTGCCTTAAGTCCTTTATACCCACTGCCCTTAGTGCCCACACATCTTCAGGGACGGAGCATTACCCCGCCAGCCCATGAGGAAGGGGCCGAGCTGGGACCCCAGCCCAGCCTGGCCAGCTCCGGAGTCGGGGCTGTGGCCCCCAGGAGTCTGGGCGGACTTCTGAGAGCCGCCTGGTTCTGGGGTGGGTGAAGAAGGTGCTGGAATCCGGGTGCACCTGTCGGTGGCATAGGGCGTGCCTGGAAGCCGGGTACCAGTGTGGGACAGCAGCCCTGTCATCTGGGCGCCTCCCGCCTCCCCACCTGGAACCCCAGCGCACTCTCCGAAACGAGGGGACCACAGGGCACCGAAGAAGCCTGGTACAGCCTGGACAGCGGGCACCTCAGAAGAGCTGACTTCTAGTTTTCGCCAGCCAAGAGAATAGAAACTAGACGAGGAGTGTTCCCTGAGGAACGTGTGCTCCAGGCTCAGGGACCCGCCAGCGGTCCCCGCTCTCCCCAGCACCTACAATCTTGTGTGAGGGATGGCGGGAAAATTCTGTTCAGAGGTCAACCTTGAGATGCCCTTGTCTACCATCTAGGGACACGACTGGGCCCGTGGGCCGAGCTGGGAGCTGCTCGTGGAACCTTCCAGAGGCAATAAAGTGAGGCAATAACGCCCCGGCCAGGCCCATCCCCATGGCCAGTGCGCCAGCGCCCATGAAAGCCTTCGTAAAACGCCGGGCCCTTTCATGTGTGTCGCCTACCCCCGGCTTCCCCGGCCTCATGTTGCTAAGTGCCAAGCCGGGGCGCCCTCCACCCACCCACGGGGTGCTGCCCGGCCCGGCGAAAACCGAAACAACCTCGGGCTCTGCCCGTCCCCAAAGTCTCGCTGGGGCTGGAGGGGCCGAGCCCGGCTGCGGGACACGCAGGGTCACCTCCCGTGCCGGGGCACAACCCGAGGAGGGGCTGAGGCTGGCCGGGCGGGGGCCTCGGCGGGGCCCGGGTGGGGTTCTGGTCCGCAGGGTGCGGGGAACGCAGCCCAGCCCGCTGGGGTCCCGGTGTCTCCCCTCCGCCCCGCAAGTCCAGGGTCGCCCTCGCGCCTCGCCCGGCCCGGGGACCCGCCCCTCAGGCCCGGGGTCGCCCCTGCCCGCCCCGGGGGCCCGGCCCCCACAGGCCCGGGGTCATCCCCGGCCAGCCCCGTCGCGCGGCCTCACCCTGCTCTCCGGAGGAACCTGCCATCCTAAGGAATCCGAGACCCGCACCCGCAGCGACAGCTTCCCACAATCTGATGCAACAGCGGCCCCGGAAGTCCCGCCCCGCGCTCGGCTAGTCTTCCGGGACACGTCCTGTCGCTAGGCAACAGCCGCGGACTCCGACGCCGTCGGCCCGGGGCATGCTGGGTGTTGTAGTTCCTACTTGGCTGCCTATGGCGCCCTGGAGTCCCTTCAGGGCCACGTTCCATGTTGGCCCGAGAAACAACCTGCACGAGGCTCGGGGCGGAGGTCGCAGTCCCGCCGCGGGGAGATAGGCATTAAAGACGATTCATCTCAGGCATGGCTGTTTACGTTGGCAATGCACCGATTGGTGTGAGGGACAAGCCACAGGGGGTGTCGGAGAGGGCCTCCAGGGGCAGGTGCGTGCTGGTCTGGACAGAGGAATAGTTCCAAAGAGGCTTAGAGGAAGGGACCTGGGATGGATGGGGAGTACATTCCAGGCAGAAGGGACTGTCCTGCAAATGACTGCGGCAGAAAGCAAGGCGCTGAGAAATTCAGCAGCCCTGGCAAAAGATGGGGCTTGAGGCACAGGCTGGGGCACATGCTTCTCGAAGAGTCTTGTGAACGAAGTCAAGGGGCAGGCATGACCAGATTTGTGCTTTGAATTATCCCAAGTGCCGAGTGGAGGCAGAATGGGTGTGGGAGAGGCAGATGAAAAGCAAAACTTGAGAGGAAGCCATGTCGGTGGTCTACAGAGTAAATGGCGGCCTGGACTAGAGGGGTGAGCAGACAGATCTCGGAGAGCCCAAGGAGGCAGTAAACTGGGATGCGGGGATAAAGGAGGTGGTAGGACTAGGGATGACACCCAAGTTTCTGGCCTGAGATCAGGCAGTGTGGAATTTACTTTATTGCTGACTTGGAAACTGAAGATCTTGGCGCTGGATGGAAATAAGCAGGCCAACTTTTATTTCCAAGGATTGGTGATGTGTGGGGTGAGAAGGGTGGACCTCACATTCTGAGCTGAACAGTGGATGGACCGTGCTGTCATTCCCAGGGACAGAGGCCCAGAAGGGGTACCACAGACCAGACAATAGGCTTCTCCGGACCCCATCCCCCCACAAAGCACATCCTTGGGGCCCATGCCTTCCTTTCTCTGCATGATGTCACCTCCCATGCACAGAAGACATCACACCCAAGTTCATACACCCAACAGGAATGAGAGAAAACACTGTTTAAGACACAAATTTTATTAGGTAAAGAAAACTATAAATACGTGATTAAGTTATACAATCTTTTACTAAAAAGAACATCCTTCACAAAAATATGTACACGTTTGAAGCACTTAAAAAAGGTCTGTCACCACGCCCAACCTCTGGTTTAAGGTGGGGTCTAGTCTCAGTCCAGTCTTACTCTCAGACAGAAGACCCAAGGGATGGTCTGATCGTGGTGTCAGATATAACTAGATCTGTGAGCTCAGAGTGGCTAGCCGGTTGCCTGCCATGAAATTTCCTCATACATATATATGGCACGCCCGGTCAATGCCACACCCTGTAGGTCATGGGGAAATCACAGTAACTCTGAGGTCAAGGAGTTGGTGGAAGCAGAAAGACAAGCACCACACCATCCTGGCCTCAGCACCTTGGAAAAAGTTCCGAGGAACGTGAGCCCACCCAGCACAAGAAGCAGGCCCCCACAGGCTCACACCCCCCGGAATCCACTGAGAGCAGCCCATCTCTGCCGTAAGGGCTACAGGCAGCACCCTCAACTCGCCTTGCTCTGGCAGAGAAGTGTGCTCTTGCCTGCACTCAAAACTGACCTCTTCATTGGAATCTTTACATAGATTCTATTTTGATAGAGGCTCAGCCCCACTTGAGATTCAGAAAGTCTGCAATGGGATCAAAATTGTCCATGTAGGATACTGCTTAGTTAACAATCCCATGCCAAAAAGTTTAATTTGAGGCCTCTGCACGCTTAACTAAAATCTTTTCGGCAACCAACTTATTTATAATATTTTGCAAATATGTTTGTAGCTCCATTTTATGGAGGGCAGCCATGAGTTTAAACATAGACGCTCCCTTCCCTTGCGTGCCCTTCCACCGGCGAAGCATCTGATAATGCTGTTCCATCAAGTCTCTTGGATTTTCATGTTCACAAATCTCGATGTCAGTTTCTTTAAGTCCGACCAACCTCATAAACATCTTCCAGTCTTTTTCTGGAATGCTATGTTCGAATGCAAAATAGATCTTCATGTCTGGAAACAACAAACAAACGAGAAAGAAGATTGTGTTTACGTTTCTGGAAGGCACGAGCAGCATCTGCCGTAACTGTTCCCGCCTCCCTCGAGGGCTGGGCGCCGGCCAGCGGGCACACGACGGACCAGAAGGAATGAGGCCTTGTGCCACCCCAGCAGACCCCGAAGAAGGGATGAGGCCCAGGGCCCCAGAGACAGTGGGCGGCCAAGTGGCTCTCCATATGCCTGTTGCCAGTGAACCTGGAAGAAGGGACCGAGGATCCCGGGAAACTCGGAAGCTCAGTGGGGATAGAGAGCCTGCTGAGGTTGGCCTTGCCCCCTACACTCTGCTACACCCCGAGAGGCTGTCAGGTGGGCAGGGCCGAGAAGGCTGACGCCAGGGGTCGAGCCTTCTGAGACCCGGGGTGAGTTCTGTGACCTCTTTGTGCTTCTGACTATCTTGTTTAAAATCTATAAAGTGAGGTGGTCTCGCAGAGCTGTTAGGACGAGATTATAAAAAGCGCCTGGAATGTAGCATGTGCTCAATAAAATCCTTATCCTTATACCACTAAAATCATGGTGTCGCAGCCAGCAGGGGCCTACCGATCTAGAGCTACCAGCCACTCACATCTTTTCCTTAACGACACGAACGTGTTGTAAAAACTCATAGTTGACAAGTGCCTATTTCCCCTGATGTCATTAGTGAATGTGAAAAAGTGACTCTCGGGCTACAGGAAATTTCCCCCAGGCTTCGTGTGGGCAGATGTTCCTCCGGAGAAATGAAGGCACGAGCCCTCGACGTGCACGCCAAACCAGTAAGGCCTACCCCTAGACAGTCACTGTAGATGAAGCAGCCAGCTGACTCACCGTCATCGGAGAACGTGTTCTCCAGACTAAACATGCGTTTATATTCCTGCAGAGAAGAAAACAAAATTATTCCAGGAGAAATCTGTGTGGCCTCGCAGAGGAATCCCACCGAGACAGACCGTCACCTGGGTTCTCGTGGAGTGGCGGGTGGGGGCAAGTAGCCCCCATGAACATGAGAAGAACCGTCAGGCAGCCAGCAGGTGGTCCACGGGGAGGTTGCCCCATCCCCCCATGGATGGCAAGGAGCTCACAGTCCCCCTGGACACGGCCTGAAGACAACGCTGTGTTGCCATGGCTGCCTCTGCTCCAGATGGCAGGGGTCCTGGCCTTGGCTGCTCTGAGCGTGCCCCCCCCCTGACTCCTTCCCAGGTCCAGGTCCCTGCTTCCCACTCCTGGGGGGGGGCAGGTAATAGTCAAAGGATGTCACCCGAGGGTGACCTGCTCCACTCTGGACAGTACTAAGGGAGAGGACACCTGTCCATAGAATCACTGTGAAAAAACATTAGTGACCGAAATGCAGTTTGCCAGTCCGGGGACACGCGAGCGTGCACGGGACGCCAGGCAGGCGGCCGCCGACCACCCATCTGCAGCGGCTGCTGCTAGAGACGACAGCTCCCAACGCGCGGCTGTCCCCAGGTCCCCAGGGCGAGGCGAGGCATTCCCGTCAATGTCAGCCGCTTGCTGCGGGCACAAGGCCTGAGGCTGGACCACGTGCCACAGATCCCAGCCCTGCCTCTTGCCGCTGCTGGCCCGGCTCGTGGGTCACCCTGTCTTGTGGCTGCTCAGCCGCAGACAAGGGGTAAGAACGGGGTGAGAAGGACTGCGCGCAGCCTGCGAGCGCCCCCAGGGACCCAGCACACCGCCTGACCCAGTGCCTCCCGCTGACCGGGGCAGGGGTCCTAACTTCTGCGTTTGAGTCATCTCAGACCCCTTGGAAGATCTGACAGAAGTCACAGACCGTCTCCCTGAAATGATGGCCAAGGGTGCACGACGCGGAGGACTTAGCGGAATTCTCGACCTGCACGTCTGCGCTGGGGGCCTCAGAGCCAGGACCTTTGGCCCACGGGCCCATGACCTCCTCGCAGCACCCCTTCCCTCAAGCCCTGACCTGTGTCCTGCCTTTAGGGTCCAGAAACAGGAGATCCCCCTCATTCCCCAAACACTGGCTCCACGCCCCTCTGGGATGCTGTACACGCTAGCCCTTCTTCCTGAAGGGCCCTCGTCCCCAGGCCCGCTTAGTGGACATCGGCTCATCTTGCCAAACCCAATTCGGGTGTCGCTGCCGTGGGACAGCCCCCACCCCGCAGCCCCACAACGGAGGACAAGACTTCCCCCTGCCTCCTGACACAGCTGGGCGCGGCGCCTTCCACCGTCCCGTAGATCCTGCCCGGTGGACGTGTGTGCGCTCGCCCTCCCCACCCCGACAGCCCTGTGTTCTCCAGATGCCACGATGTCACAGTCCCCTCGGACAACAGGTTGGCTCTGTCCTTATGAAAAAGGGGAAACTTGGACACGTACTTGACACGGGGAGAAGGCCACGTGAACACGAAGACAGAGATGGGGTGATGCTTCCACAGACCGAGAAACCCACGGTCACCAGACACCACCAAAGGCCAGGGGAGGGGCCGGGACGAGATGCTCCCTCACGGCCTCCGAGGGACCTGCCCCGCCCACGCCTTCATCCTGCACTCGCAGCCCCCAGAACAGGGGCCGACAAATTCCCGTCATTTAGGGCGCCCAGGCTGCAGCGCTTTGTGGCAGACCCCCCGGGAAATGCATCAGAATTTACAGGGGCAAGCACGTCAGCACCGAACAGAGCCCCGCACCCAGGAGGCGCTCCGCAAACGCGGGCTGCACGGTCACCCAGGCCCCCCCGGGTCCCACTCACCTCCTCCAAACTCTCGAGGGAGGGAGAAGCCTCAGCCGGGGCCTGCGGCCCACGGGCAGCGGGAGCACAGGTCTGCAGCGCCTGCTCTGGGGCTGCCTGACCTCCTCGGACCACCAGCACCTGCAGCTCGATGCCGTCTTCCGGGTCCTCTGCGGGCTCCGGGCGCGTGCCGGCCGCGGGCGCCAAGGCCGAGGCCCGCTCCTCCAGCAGCGGTGCGGTCTCCACGCCGGGGGCGCCCCTCTCAGGGTCCATGGTTTGCGGTATCTCGTTGGGCTGGAGGCTTCTAGGTGACTAAAGAACAAAGTCATTTCTTTGGGTGACGGAGGTGGCATCACGGCCCTTCCCAAGCCACTTTGAGAGAAAGAAATGCCGGGCTGTCTGCGGGGTAAGCAATGCCGGACAGGAAGACGCCACAGGGTCAGGTCCCAGCTCTGCCACCGAGTCCTCGGCGGTCCCAAGACAAGTCTGTTTTGGGTTGAAGGGACGCTCCCCAAAGACGTGTCCACCACAGCCTAGCCCCTGGTACCTACGAACGGGACCTTACTGGAAATAGGGATTTGCAGAGGGGGACACCCCAGGGGAGAGTGGGCCTTAAATCCAACGACCAGGGTCCTTATAAGGGGAGAGAGGCCGAGACGGGAGGCCGGAGGCTGAGATTGGAGTGATGCGTCTACAAGCGAAGGAGCTCGGGGACAGCAACAGAGGGTCGCAGGGGGACAGAAAGGACCATCCCCTAGGGCCTCGGAGGGAGCGGACCCACTGACACCTGGATTTTGGACTTCTGGCCTCCGGAACGGGGAGACGATAGGAGACAAGTTCCTATGTCTCACGCCCTCCCCGGCTCCCCGCGCGTGACATTCCTCCGGCTGCCCCGAAACCCACACAGAGCCGTCTGCCCCCCGTGCCTCGGACTCCCGCTCAGTGGCCCAGGCCAGCGGCGTGCACGTTGTCTTCCAGCACAGATATTCGGGGGCTCTAGGAAGCGGGGTGCGGGCAGCACTGCACAAGCCGGGCTGCGCGTGCCAGTGGGGTGACTGGGCTGCGTCGCACCCACCCCAAAGCGTCTCCCCGCCATGAGGGCCCGAAGCCACCACCAGGCACGTCCCATGGTGATACTTACGTGGCAGCCTTGCTCACTCGACTTTTCTGAAAATCAAAGAGAAGAGAGAGAAACGAAAATACAGTCCTGCGCCGCGTGACGACGTTCGGGCAAATGAGGGCACGGCGGGGGTCCCCCCAGGCTACGCCCGAGCCGGAAAGTTCCTGTCCCCGAGCGGCAGCACGCGTCACAGGGCAACGTGTCACTCCCGCGTGCGTGGCCTGCCACCCTGCTCGTCACACGAAAGCGCGGCACACCGCTGTGTACGGCACGCGAGGCTCGGTCACGCAGTAAACGATGCGCTGGTTTAGGGAGCTGCCATGCTACCCTTTCTCCCGTTTTGGGGTGCGCCCTTCCCACCTCTGAAACCCTCGCGGAAAAGGCAGGCGGTGCCTCGCCGGCATCTACCGCGACCCTCGAGGGCGCCGCTGCCCCCCACGCTGGATCTGCTCTCATGTCGTTGTGTTTCGTAACGGGCGTGCAGGCCGGGAGCCCAGGGGTGGCAGGCTGGACCACGCAGCCCGGGGGTGTGGGTGGCCGTGCCACCTGCGTGTGTGTTCGCCTGACAAGGGGATCGCCTAGCGCCCAGTTTTCCTGACGTGTCCGCATCGTCACGCGGTGCACGGCACGATCCATACTAAGCAGACATCGACCTCCATGAGGGCCTTGGATTCGCAACAAAAAAAGTGTACTTACGTCGACCTCCGTGAGGGCAGGGAAGGGCCTTGGATTCGCAACAAAAAAAGTGTACTTACGTTTCAAGAAACTGACAAGCCGCTGGGAAATCTGCGTACCTGGGAACACACGGGAGGCGGGAGTCCATGGGGTGCTCCACCACCCCCACCACCCTACCCCCTGGCGGAAGCGGCACCCTGAAACCCCAGGCTGAAGCCCTGCGTCTGGGCGGGGGGCACGCAGCGCACGGCTCCCTGTCCCAGAGCCTTGCCGCAGGCGGGGAGAGGCCCCCCGCCCCCCAGTCAGAAAGTGAGCACAGCTGCATTTCGAACTCCTCGTCAAGAACCTCCTAGTTCCCGGTCCCCATTTCGGAGCTCCCAATGGGGCTGCGCGTGCCTTTTTCAGCAGGGACACTCAAACGCTCACTCACGCTTTTTACAGACAATGACGACGATGTGGATGACCATGACGACGACGACGAAGACTACTAGAATAATGTGGAACCAGTACACTTGTGGGTTTCCTGGAAGGAGGCAAACAGAGACTGTTCGACCGCTGTAAGCACGCGTCCCTCGCCCGAGCGACTCGCTGCGAAGGGGCAGTGAGAAGTCCTGGTGTCCCAGGCTGGGGCTCCTTCTGGTGTGGGCAGTCCCAGCAGTGGGACTTACTCTTGGGCCAGGGGGAGGAGGGAGGGCACAGCCTGTCCTGACTGGAGCGAGAGGCCAGGTCACAGTGGCCCGATGAACGGGGCAGGGTCCACCCCTGGGAGACAGCCGCTGTGACCGCTCAAGTGTCCTGGTGACATCATAGCACCAACAGGAGCCACAGACACAGAGACATGGAGGCAGGGCAGGCCCGTCAGAGCTATGGCAGCCCCATGAGGGACGAAGTGACTTTCACAATGATGCCACCATTCCACTCAAAGGCTTTTCTCTCTAATTTTTTTTTTCTTCGGTATTAAAATATAACTGAAGCGTTTCTGTGGTTTTGAATCCATTGTGTGGGTGTGGGTGTGAAAGTTGACAAGTCAACTCTGAACTGTAAGTTGACGCCTCAAAGCCCTGACGATACAGAGGAAGGACGAGGGGGCTTTCACCTCTGACGTCAGGGCCTGTGAGCAGCCCCGGCCCAGGGACAGACAGACAGACAGAAAGTCCCAGACTTGCAGAAGCCCCGGTTTACGATCGAGTGACACCGAGAGCGGGGGAAGGGACCGTCTTTTCTAAACACGATCTCGGGTCATCTGTACCCGTGTGCGGGAAAAAAAACACAGTGAACTGCGACTGCCTGCCTCGCACCGCGAAAACATCCTTTCCAGGCTCGTTCGCGAAAGGAAGCGAGAACGGTGAAGCCATAACGCTTCGGGCAGGCCACGCGAGCCATCCTCTCGGGACGAGCAGAGCGCCAACCACGCGGGAAAGTGACGACAGACTGGACGGCATGAAAATGAAGAACTTGGGTCTGGCGAGACACCCCATAAACTTAGTAAAAAGATGCCTCCCCGACAAGGGGATAGGGACATTGGTAGCCCAAAGGGCCTGTTCCTCGAGTTTATCAATAATTACAAACATTTATAAAGGATTATCAAAGAACAAGAAGACAACACCCAGATGTAAATACAAAACCCAACATAAACATGAGTGAGAGCGTCGCACAGACGTCACACGAGAGACCCAAAGGCGTCACTTCTACACCTGGCGTGGGCCCACCCCCCCGTCCCCAAGTCACGTGGGAGCGCCCCGTGAGGGCGGGGACCCGGCACAGCCTCGGGGTGACAAAAGGACGGAGGACGTGAGAACGGTCTGAACTGAAGGACAAAGCCACAGGCCTCCTGGGAGCCAGCCACCCCGCCTCACCTGCTGCGCTCTGGAGCGTGAGGCACGGTGGCACCGGTCGGCCCGAGGAGGCTGAGCCGGACCCCCGCAGGGCCCCAACGTGGGGAGCAAGGACAGGGAAGCCCAAGCTACTCCCCAAGGATTTTGTTTGTTTACTCAAGACGAGGGAGGGTCTTTGAACTACGGCCCACGGGCCTAATCTGGCCCGCTGCCTCGTTTTATAAATAAAGTTTTATTGGCACACACACAAGCACATCCGTTGACTTACTGTCTCCAGCTTCCTCTACTACAGCGGCCGTGCTGCGTATTCCCAGCACAGACCGTACAGCCCGCAAAGCCTTAACCACTTCCCTGTGTGGAAAGGCTCGCTGACCCAGATATAGGAGGCGGGATCGGCTTCTTACCTGGCTCTGGGTTCGTTTCTGGGGCACAAATGGTATCCCTTGTGGCGTTGCACGTTTGAAGGACGGCACCTTTACACCTGAAAGTGAGAGAACCCCGAGTGTCGCTCCTCCCTGCCCAGGCCCAGCTTCGGGGCCGGGGGTGAGAGGTGGGGCAGTGCCAGGCTTTGAGGGACCTGTGTCTGGCATGTCCCCAGCTATCTGGCCCAAATCCATTCAAGGAATAAACCTTGGGGATTCTCTGTGACACCTGAGAAAGAGGCCACCCCCCCACCGCCCTCATTCCTGGATAAGCTGTGGCCCTATCTCTGCCAAGGGGGCAGTCAGCCCGAAGAGGAAGCCCACAGAGAGGAGCACAGGCAAGCGAGTCTAGAGCAGCCGGAGCCCTGATCAAACCAGACCTGAAGGCAGCCCTGACTTTGGACCTGTCAGGCACGCGAGCCGACGGCTCGACACGGTCCGGTCGTATCTAAGAAGACAGATACCGTGTGCCGCACAAGCGAGCTGTTTTGTAAGCGGCTTTTCCACCGTCATGTCTCCCCCAAAGGTCCCCCCGGAACGTCCGCAGGAAACCCCGTTTGGGAGCAGGGTCTGGCAGATGTCATCGCGTCAAGGTGGAGTCATACCGCGTTAGGGCGGGCCTCACTCCGCGACCGCGTCCTTACGAGAGAGGAATCGGAACGCAGACAGAGAGGAGACGGCCAAGTGCAGACAGAGGCCGAGAGAAGACAACAGACATGAAGACAGAAGCAGAGGCTGGAGCGATGCGCCTACAAGCCGAGGGGGGCCCGCCACCGCCGGAAGCAGGCAGAGGCGGGAAGGGCTCGCCCCAGAGCCTTCGGAGGGAGCGCGGCCCTGCCGACAACTTGTTTTTGGACTTCTGGCTTCCGGAACTGTGAAAGAATGCATTTTTGTTGTTTTTTAAAGCCACCCGGTGTAGTGCTTTGTTACTGAGACGGTCATTTGGCCGTCACAGGGTACAGGACCGCTATTCTCTCTGCCAAGAGCCCCGTCCCTCTGGAACTTTCTGTGTCTGTCTCCCTCCCTCCCTCCCTCGTCATCCTCTGCTCGAGACCTGTCTGAAACAGCCCCCTCCCTGCTCTCCATCCCTCATGGACTCGCTGGACTGTGTTTTGATGATCTGTCTCCGGCAGGGCTGGGGACCGGGCCTGCAATGGCGCTGGCAGGCCACAGAGGGCTCCCAGCCGTCTACTGCATGTCCACGCATCCAGGGACAGTGGGACGCTGATTCAAGGCCTGCCGCCAGGCAGAGGCATCCAGGTGCTCTATCTGATGTAACCTCTAGGGGGCAGGTGCTACCACGAGCCCCAGCGTATGGATGGGGAGGGGCACGCAGCTCCGTAACTGACCCAGCGCCAACGCCAACGGGCACTGGCTGGAGGTGTGGGACCCGGGCCCCCCGTCCGGTCCGCCCGCGCCCCCGAGGCCAGCACCTGGTGCAACGGTAGCAATTTTCTCTGCAGAGCACGGAGTCGCAGTAGAAGGCTCCCTCCCTGCACTGGCACTGCTGGTCGCTCTGCGGGGAGCACGGAGTCACCACCTCCTCATCTGCTAAAGAGGGAGGGCGAGGGTCAGTTGCCAGGATGGGGTGGGAGACGGGGAGGACTCTGCCCCCTCCCACGCTAAGCTCCTCCAGAGTCTGAGCCACGTGGGGCGAGTGGGCCCCCACCCTCCGTTCTAGCACGTAGGGACGAGGATGACGTAACAAGGCCGTATTGCCTGCAACCGGAAATAAGAACTGGTAGCTTTAAAACAGAGCCGTCTCGTTTATAGGCCTGTCGTATTTCTCTGCATGCTCAGACTTTTCTTAAGTGTTGTTTGTTCACGTAAACATTTTACACATTCTTTGCTGGATTCATTCCAAAGGATCCTACTTTTCTGGTTTTTACTAATGCGAATGGTATCTTTTTTCACTAAAGTTACATCTTAAAACACTTTGGTGCTGATATACAGAAGTTGAGAGAAACTTCTGTATGTGATTCTTGCACGTAGCTACTCTGGGCTCCTGAGAACGGGCAGACAATTCTTTGACCATACACGTGTTTTCATCATGGCGAGGAAGACGCCTTGTGGTGGCTACTCCGGCAGCTTGGTCCCCCGGGTCATAACTGCCTTTGGGGGGGCGATTCCTACCAGCCAGGTGGGAGGGGGCGCGTTTTAAAAAGGCACAGGGCCCGCCACTCACCATCGCGGCACTGGGTGCAGGGCAGGCACTCGTCCTCCCTGTTGCTGTGGGCCATGAAGGTGCCAGGTGCACACGGCCGGCAACACGTGGGACGCTTGTCATCGCACTCTCTGCTCACATGGTGGCCTGTGAGAGGGTGGGACACAGAGCTGAGGTAGGGGCCCAGCACGGCCTCGTCTGGCTCAGGCCTGACGTGGTCCCCGAGGCCTCTGCTCGAGGGGGTCCCACAGCGCCGGGGGCCAGGCCCCCTGCAGCGCACCGACTCTCACCTCCTCCCTCCTTGGACTGACGCCTAGCTCCATGCGCCCCAGGAATTGGGGACACGAGTCACCCTCGGCTTCTATCGATACCCCGCAGCCTGTGTGTGTGGGTGGGTGAACGTGCAC